TGCTTTTCGCACCAAATTTAGTGGGTATTCAAAACGTGAACAATTTTTGAATTTTGTGCTTGGTGCGTTTTTGGTGCTTTTGTTATTAGTTTGAAGACTTCAAATTAGAAAATCTTAAAAAAATGGAAGCAAAATTTATAGCAATCGTAAGTGTGCTAAGCAATTTTACAAAAATTTAAACAAAATCATGGCACAGTGACAATCATAAGCGACAACGAAATATGTGGAGCACCTTCAATTATGCCAGGAGAAATCGACCGTTGTGCAAGAAACATTGATTTTTATCAATTTGAATCGGCATCCTTTCAATAAAATTATGTATTCATATAAAGTCCATAAAATACACCAATAAAAATTTGGTGCTTTTTCAAATGCAAAACTTGGCACTACTGCCTTTTGTTCGATGCTTCTTCTTTTTCTTGTCGAGTTTGTCTTGCTCTCTCATTCTGGTATATTTTGACGTCACGACCAGTTGCTCTCAGCTCGATTGGCGCAATCTTGTATTCTATCATTCTTGCCTCAGAGGTAAAGTTATTCGCGCGTTTTATTTTTATGTGGTTTCACCAGTAGTCCTAATCCACACATAGTTATTTTCGCCACAATAAAACTCTTTATAATCAGAGAAAAGTCGAATTGATAACAGGACAAGAATTATTTGCTAATTACAGTTTCAACTGACTGAAAATTGTTATTCATGGGCTCGGCCTATTGGTGAACCCACAGTTGAAAATACGAGCCAAAAAACACGACCTCCGAGATACTGTGAAAAGTTTTGAGTAGCTTTCCCATTGCCGCTGCATTGAGCGCGTTGCTGGTCCAGATCTACACGTCGTACGCGAACATATAAATAATGCGTTTATTGGAAATTTTGTCCTCTACAGCTTTGCCATTTAAATGATCAAACGACGAAGAAATCGCGCCACTTACCTAATTTTGGGCATTTTTTGCATATTATTAGCAATAAATAATTGTTAAAAAAAATGATAGGCACATGAAAATTGTATTCCCTATAGGGAATCGAATTCTCTACAAATTTGTTCACTCCCTTTTTCGCGAGAAGTGCAAAATCCGCGCGCAAATCGTAAAAAACACAAAATCCAAGATGGCGGACATTTCGCACATCGCAATTGGTGGACAAATTTTAATTTCGTGTTCTCCTAAGCAGGAGATACCAAGCTGCGTCAAAAAATTTCTTCCTGGAATTTTTTCGTTGAAAAAATCTAAAATGATTGGGCTACATAGGGAGTAGAGCGTACCCTATTCGTACAAAAGTTCCTGACTCTGCAGTAGTCGCCTGACGACTCCTGTGTGCTTTGATTGCTGGCCGGCTATTTATACAATTTGGATATTTCGCTTGGTTTGTCAAGCCGCTTGTGCGGTCTGTTTCGCTTATGCGTGGTTCTCCAGTACATTTTGTCAACGACAAATTGTATATTTTAGAATTTCTTGCCATTTGCATGGACAGCCCCTGTTGAAGTCGCGCACTTCCAGACGACAACGCAGATGGATAAGCCGACTCGAGCGGGGTTTAGTAGCCACTAAAACTACAACAACAGGAACCTTCAGCATTAAGGGTCCGGATATTGCAGGTGCATACCTTCAAATCATAGTCCTTAATACATTTGCTGCGGTCGTCATCAGAAAAAGGGGGTCTCATCCGAGGCTTTTTTTTTGTTTTTCATTGGGAGGGGTTTTACAGTGGCGGGACCCAAACCCAGCGCTTGCGAAGTTTTACGCCTTCTCACTTTAGCTCAATCCCTAACGGGTGTTTGGTTGCTACCCAGAGGATACGTGGATATAAATATCCGGACGTTGTGAGCTGCGATTTGAACCGTACGCACAAACATCACTTCTGGCCACTCCCAGGTGAATGGCAGTCAAAAGCTTTTCACTTCTGCGCACGGAACCATCCTCCCAACGGCGCACAGAGTTGAATTTTCTCAACTTGCATACGTTTGCTTGTGTGGGCAACCAACTTCAAGTTGTTTATACTAGACGCTTGAGTATACATTAGGGCGGTAAAAAAAAAGAAAAATTCGGAATTTTAATGCTCTCACCCTCTAGAATTGCTCTATACCGTGAACAATTATAATCTTTTTTTTAAATTTGTTTTCCATGTATTTTATCTACAAAAAAAATTTCGCAGAAATGGTACGGATTCTTGAAAATCAATATTTTTCGATCGCAAAACTTTGCTTCTCTTCAGCAGACATTCAATTATAATATCCAAACAATTTAACCATTTTTTAATATTAATTAAAAAAAAATGCAATGGGGTTGGACCCACAAAAATTGATGGTGTTAAGAAATTGTAAAATAAACAATTGGGTATTATCCATTATTGGAAGCCCCC